GACCCTAATGCCCACGTGAGTCATGAGGCAACAAACAATACAGGGTGTTTTCACTATCTAGCAGCTAAATTGTTTCAAAAAATTAGAAGATACCACTTACCACTTACTTGTTAGTAAGTACTTTGGGATTGCCTGAATATTATCATTGAACCGCGAAGATTTATGCTTTGAAAACGAAGCAAAATGTGACTTGGCGAACAATCGTAAGTATAGTACAAACTTCTTTTTATGTAAATAATGCTTCTAAACCATTTTGAGCCTACAAAAATAACACAAACCAATTTTGAAGGGCAGAAGTTTGAGCGCAGGCTTGCTGTTAGGTCTATGTCGGGTGCCCTTTAAATATGAAAACTCAAATTTTTTTTCTAGTTCTCACTTCACTAAGCATCTATAAAATAGTTGGAGCCCTATCGTTTTCAAACCAGTCAAAAAAACCTGCGAAATCACCTATAAAAACATATTCTCGGGAACAAAATACGCATGAAAGTATTTTTAAGCGAAAAAAACCAGATACACCTTTCTTATAAAGGTATGACATAGCTGGAGTAAAGCGACTGTCTTGGCTTCTGATTATGTATATGCACAAAAGACTTTGGAAGCGGAGAATTACTTTAATGGACAGAAACCCTAAGTGGAATTATAGTTTTGACCAACCTTCAAGCCTGCTTTTTTCGAAATTTTTGATTTTTTCCTTAATAATCAAACAAAAACGGGATCCTTCTAGTTACTGATGGTAGCCTGTTAAATACACAGCTACAGCAAATTTCAGATAAATTCGTTGAGAAGCAGATGAGCTCGGCAGTTTTCAGGGTGGACGTATAGTTGGCCAGCACTGTATTGGAGCAGCAGAAGTTCTCACAAATAATGTTCTGAAGTATAGCGCTGCATAATCAGACGGTTAAAAAATTATGTTTGACTTTTTTGAAGTGCTGCTCGAAGGATGTAGTAGAGGAGCAGCAACACTTTACCTGGATGTTAGGCGAAGGTGACGTCATACAAAAGTCAAAAATCAAAATGCCCGTAGCTTTTGGATCACCCTAATATTTACAAATAGGTGATACAAAGGGGATAGGATCGGAAACGAATTACATTCACCTAATTTACCTTGTAGAATCCTATATGTTCAGCAGTGTTGCAGATCCCATGAACTTTCCATTCTATTTTTTTTTCGAACCCCTTATTCTGAGCTAGCACTGGGTGTAACATTACATACTAGTGGTTTACGCACCAATATAACAAGATAAAAATCATGAACCGCATCATCCAGCAATCAAGAAACATGACCCGTGCGCTTTCCATCGCATTCCATCTTTATCTGCCTCATTTTACAAGCAACTCGGAGTACTTGCAGATAATAAGAGGGTTAGGTGTGAATAGATCTGATCAACGATATATCTCAAAGCGTACTACTTTCGTAGTACTCTTGTACCGCCTTGGTATACGACTGTTCTAAGAGAAGAGGTAAGAATGAATTAACGAAGAAAGTTTTCATCATACTGCGTATAGAGAATTTGTGCGAATGCGTGATTAGTGAAATGACGGCGAATGTATAAGCTGCTTCACATTGGATAAAGAATAGTGCCGATTTAGCCATTTTACAAGGTGCGCCAATTGATAGCCTAGTACAGAGTGTTCCAAAAAATATGCCTACTGTTTGATAATTGAAAAGTCTCTTTCATAAAATCTTTCTAGAAGATTCAGGTACCATTACTTTACGCTGGCTTTAGCTTAGATTTATAGTATTGAGTGAATCACTAAACACTCTACATTATTGTACGATTACGGTAGGAGCTTGCAGCTTATGGCGCCACTGCGAGATTGGCCATTCGGAAAAAAAATCCTACAAATTCAAAGTCGTGTGACAAAATTTTCATGCATGCTGATTTCACTACACAACTTTTTGCACGTTCGCAAAGATTTCCAATTGGCGTAATCAAATTTTTGACAAATATCAAATAGTCTGTTACGGTATATATGGCATATGAGATAATCATTACGGCAAATTACGAATTTCACACTTGAAAACAGCGGTTTTGGTTAGCCTAATGTATGATTTCAGCTTCATTACTCCTTTTTCAGGAAGCAAAGTACGTCCCTTACTGACGCGAAATCCTTCTCAAACTCCCTACATTAATCCCACAGAAATGATGAAAGAACGATAATTCGCTCCATACTGCAGACGTAAGTTGAAGCCCTTTTTACGAAATGGTACCTAGAGTTTTCAGATTTCAAGATGACAAGAGATCTTCACAATCAAACGGCGCATCACTTTTCCTTGAGACACTCTGTGTGATGTAGATTAATACTTGATCAGATAAAATTGTTATAGAACGGAAATTCAGAAACAAAAAAAATTTGGTGCATAGTTATCCGAACCGTTGCAAATACCTCTCGTTTAAATTTCAAAATTGCCTTTTTGGCTTCCTCCCTGCCCTCCAGAATCTTAGCGAGTCCAGCTGGAGGGCAGCGAGGAAGCCAAGGCAAAGACCATCATGGTGGCACGGAGGCAGCCGCTATGATGTTCGTTCTTTCCCTTGGCAAATGAGCAGCATGACATAGCAAGTGGGCTACACGTGTTACAAAAAAATTTTTTGCAATGTTTAGTAATGAAAGTATAGGAATTCCAAGTGAAGGTATGGTATGTGTACGTTGGATCCTGGAAATACAGTGCTGGCCAAAAGTTTGCAGCCACTCTGACATTTCGCTATATCTTACTCTGTTTCGCACATTACTACATAATTGAAATTTCGATATTATGTGCAAATCACACTACTTAACACTATGTCAAGAAGTTTTGCAGTTTCATGCAGACAAAAGGGAACTCTGGGGAAAATGGCAAGTACGGCGACATCGAAGTTGGTCAAAACTTGCAGCCAGTTTCTGCTAAATATCTTTGGAGAACTTATCACCTTCCAGCATTTGGGCTACAGATGCATTCCCAAGCCTTGAGACATGCAGTGCAACAGCATTCATCAAACTCTCAAAAAGGAGACTTTACGAAGCAAATTTTCTTGAACGCCAAATGATTACAAAAATTGGATAAATCATTAGGTTGCCAATAGATAATCGGCTAATCCGTGCTCCTATGGAAAGGCAGTATCATCTGAATGTTTAGTGGCGGTTTGCGAACGTGAAACAAATAGAACTACTTGAAATGCTTCGAAATCTACCGCCCTCTTAACTCAGGTTCGGTGCATCTTCCAGCTCAAAAATTGGGCTCAGCGGTCCAACGAGTTCTCCAACTTCTTGAAAAACTGCTCTTACAAAGACGAGCACTGGCCCAGAGCTCAGAGAGCTTCATTGGAAACATGGACGCGCTACTGCCAAAAGTTTTGCGTTTATCACGTTTATCAAATGTTCGACTTGCCTAAGGAAATTATCAGTTATAAAGATTGCACATACTTTTCCGTAGCTGTAGCGCCATCATGCTCCCAATGGAGCTCTGCCAGCTTTGGACCAGGGCTCGTCTCTGTAAGAGCAGCGTTTTCATGAAGTTAGAGAACTTTCTGGAGCACTGAGCCCAATTTTTGACCTGGAAGGTGCTCCGAATCTAAGTTAAGGGGATGGTAGATTTTGAAACATTCCAAGTAGTTCTTTTTGTTTCACATTCGCAAACCGCCATTGAACATCCAGATGGTACTGAATTTCCATAGGAGCACAAATTAGCCGATTATCTCTTAACAACCTGATGATTTATCCAATTTTTGTGGTCACTTAGCGTTCGAGAAAATTTGCCCTGTAAGGCCTCTTTCTTGGGAGTTTGATGAATGCTGGGTGCACTACCTTCAAGGCTTAGAGGTGCATTGTAGTTCAGGCTGGAAAAGTGAAAAGTTCTCCAAAGACGTTTAGCAGGAAGTGCTCAGACAATCGCTGGGGGGCAGGCGGGCACCGGAAAAATAGATTGCTGATTTCTCGCACCCCGCTCGCGAATTTTTTGGAAAGCAATCAGGACTTTTCGGAAGACCGCTTGCTGAGTCAGCGGATTTTTGAGAGACCGCCTGTTGAATTTTTTTCGCTCTTATCTTTTGCAGATATATTGCTGAATCTCTGAGGAATCGAGAACTCAGCAAGCGGTCTTCCGAAAAGTCGTGATTGCTTTCCAAAAAATCCGCAAGCGGGGTGCGAGAGATCAGCAATCTATTTTTCCGGTGCCCGCCTGCCCCCGGCAATTGTCTGAGTGGCTGCAAGTTTTGACCAACGCCGTTTTCGCGATTGTCCCCAGAGCCCCTTTCTGCGTGCATGAAACTGCAAAATGTTATGAACAGTGTTAAGCAGTGTGATCTGCACGTTATAGCAGGATTTGGATCCGTTCCATGCGAAACAGAGTAAGATATAGCAAAATTTCGGAATGGCTACAAACTTTTGGCCAGCATTGTATGTATACAACTGGCAGAAGAAAGGAGAAAACCATCGTCTAAAAAGTGGAACTGTTCTCTCGAACAAGTTCTAACAGATGCATATGCAAACGACGTATAGTAAATTATAGCCTTGCGCTCACTGCCCGCACCGCTTCTATAACTTTCAGATTTGTTCCAAGTACAAGTTCTCACTGGCACGAAGGTGATATCTGCACGTTTATTTTCAACGCAGCTACTACGGTGTAAAAACCCAAAGCCTCCTCTATATTCCTCTATATTGTGTGCATTGAAAGATTTGCAGCTCCAGCTAGGAATATTGTAAATACTGAAAATTCTGATTTTCTCGCTCTGCTAAAATATTAATTTGATAATTCCAGTTGTTACAAACTATATGGCATCTTTTTTTAGCCAGGAAAAGTGTATTTCATAGAGGAAGATTGAAGCATCATTTGGCATAAAATTGATATCAACGCCTTGATTTGGTAAATTACAATACTGCAAAGCTCCCAGACTTTTATGCACCCTGTAGACTTTGATTAATCGGCAGTACGGAATCACTTAAAGATTTCACATTAAATTTTTATTTATTGAACATTTGGAGTTATTCAAATTTCGTATTGTGCAAAAGTTGCCTTAGATTGTCTAGAGATGTCCCTTGTCCATAAGTATCTCTGCTACTGCTGCACGATCGGGGCATGGACAGTACTCTGCATCTTTTCCGGGCTTTCCTTCTGGGCCTTCCTCTCCCGGTTCCCCATCCGGACCTTGTGGTCCCGGCTCCCCTTGAGGTCCAGGAGGTCCTGCCGGTCCGGGGTCTCCCGGTGGACCATTGAGACCATTAGGACCTGGTGGACCAGGTGGCCCTTCATCTCCAGGCGGGCCTTTGGGACCAGGACGGCCTACAGGATGCTCCGCGTCGCGCCCTTTCTCTCCCGGTGGACCAGGTTCGCCTATCTTTCCAACAGGCCCTGGAGGTCCTTGTTCGCCAGGATTCCCAGGAAGACCATCTCTGCCGGCACTTCCATCGTGTCCTTTTGGTCCGGGTAATCCTCTAGGCCCAGGGCGACCAAGGGCTCCTGGAGGTCCGGCTGGGCCCATGGGGCAGTAGAAACAACCAGCTGTATCTTTCTGAGGAGCGAGATCTTCTGCGTCAACGCCTGCCTTTCCATCAAGTCCTGGGTAGCCCTCGGGACCAGGTGCGCCAGGAGCACCTTTAGGTCCTGGAGGACCTGGAGGGCAGTTAGTTTCAGCGTTACACGTACACTCTGGGCTTTCGCTAGTTCCAGGTTTGTGAGAGAAGACCGGGGGTGTAGATGGAGGATTAGTGGGTGGGATAGAGGGCGGCCCTTCCGACGGCTTTTTCGGCCCATCTGACGGCTTTTTCGGCCCATCAGATGGCTTTTTCGGCCCGTCTGATGGCTTTTTCACAGCTTCGGTCAAAGTATCGTACTGACGACGAACTCTTCTTCTCAAGCCAATACTCATTATATCTTTCCATAAATCGTCTGTCGTCATCTGCAATGCACACTCATTATAACCAGAAAAACTGCTAGCTTTCTCACCTGAAAGTTACTGATCTCTTCCTCGAGCTCGACCCAAAAATTGGCCACCTCGGAATAAATGTAGAACATTGCAACGAGACATGCTGCTAGGGTTATTGCAGATACCGAAGATGCGACAAAAGTCGCTGTCTGCACTTTCATCCTTGCAGAAGAAAGAACAAGATGACGAGTGTTTCTGTCGAATGCGTGAACTCGCATCTGCACTGCGACACCCCTTTTATACCCTCAACTGGGTCATCCTCAAACATAAGAGGTTCAGTTTTGTTGCGAAATACTAGCACGGGAAAGGAGAGTGGAAAGATAGGATAACAACGACAAACTCGGTCGCGTCATTGTCGGATTGGATCGAAAAGTCACGTCCCTGTTTTGTGACAGACGTGAAGTTTGTACTCTGCTTTATCCCACAGCAAATTAGGGTATTTGAAGTCAAGTATTAAGAGTGCACATCTTGGCCGCAGATAGCGATGCAATGCTTTTGAGATCACATGGCTTTTGGTACTCACACATATTCGACCTTGCTGTCCATACATCGTTCCCCTCTTTCCCCGCGGGCTTTAGCTTTGCAAGGACGGAAAGCATGTGCACTGATTTATTTGAACGAATTAAAGCAAGCCTTCGTGTGAAGATATTGCTAGATTATACAATGAGATCCAAATGAATAATGTAGATCCCTGTTGATGCTGAAAGCCATCGCGAATTGTAAACTGGCAGACTCATTGTCAGCACATTTAGAGCGCACTACCAAATTCGGGATGTGAAAACCAAAATTAAGAACAGTATAGGCATCTTTTAGGACTATGAAAATTGAATTTAGGAACGAGTTTATGTAGTTAGGACTGCAATAATCTTGAACAACAAGTGCGTGTAGAATAACTTCACAAAAAAGCAAATCAACAGATTGCAGATCGTTATTCAAGGAGCATAAAGAGAACAATCATGTAAGGAAACAGTTACCCGCAGTTTGTGAATTCGAATGTTATTAGCGGCCTGTTGTTTTCAAATCCAGGAATTAGGATGAATTACCTCAACCAGACTCGATGCTGTACTGCTACTGCGCAAAAATTTCTTTTTCTATTGTAGAACAGATTCTGATGATATTCACACATAATCTATGCGTTTATTACATAATCTAGACGTTTTGCCATGGTAGCTACCAGCATCTCGAGGTAGAACAAAGTAGGAATTGTGAAAGTCTTGTAACACTCAACTATGTAGCATATATCTTGCCCATGCGATATGTCATTCAGAATATGTGCGATATGTCATAACAGATTCTGATGATATTCACACATAATCTATGCGTTTATTACATAATCTAGACGTTTTGCTATGGTAGCTACCAGCATCTAGAGGTAGAACAAAGTAGGAATTGTGAAAGTCTTGTAACACTCAACTATGCAGCATATATCTTGCCCATGCGATATGTCATTACCTTCAGAATGCACATAACCTGTGAAATCACAAAGTGAGTTCCCTCCTTTTTTATGTGCAATGTATATACTAATGTGAGGACTCATCATGTTCCTAGCAAGCCATAAGCATGCCTTGAGGGCTTAATTAGTGTACTGAAGAAAACATTTGCAAAATTTCAAGCACCGCGAGAAACAAAATTCCAGACTTCAATAAAGCATCAAGAAACCTGTGGTCGCAATCAACAAGCGGAACCCATCCGGTTGTAACAATATATTTATACAAGAAAGTGCCCAAAAGATCAGGACTCAATGAAGATTAGGCATTTATGGGTTATCGCATATCAACAGAGATGGTCATTTGCGAAAAGGCGGGCCTGTGTGTGCTTGGGAAAAGGGTAAGAATGATAAGAAATCTCACGCATGAGTCCTATTATTCTAAACACGATACAGCAGAATTATCGCCTCTTTTCATGGCCCTGTAAGTCAAATAGAGATTTTGAGCATAACAGAACCTCACCAGCGCAGCAACATATGTGTTCTTTGAAGAAGATCAAACCTGAGAGTGAAATCACCTTACGTAGATTAGAGGGCCCCACAGCTGCAATCAAGTGAATGAATAGCTCGGGCAAGGCAAGGGAAGTGGTTGGTTGGTTGTTGTTACCCAAGTAACAGATCTCTTCCTCTACCCACCAAACATACTCTTTTCTAGGAGTTAGTGGTTCTAAAGAAAATTTTTGTTGCGTTTTACATCAACAAATCAAAATACTCTTTCCTCTTGTATCCTAATTCACTACTGAGGTAAGTAGTAAAGATATCAGTGGTTAGAAAACAAACTGAGAATCTTGTCTTTGCATAGCTAGGAGGGTCGATTTTGTTGATGGCTTTTGAGCACATTTGCATTACCGAATGCTAACAAGGGAATGGTCAGAAATCGAAATGGCCAATTCAAGCAAGCTGCATACCATTCGATGCAGCATAGAATGCAGATTTCAGATCTGTCTTCCTTATCTGCAGAGCGCTTTTGTAGGCGAAGTTATAAGCCGTTAAATGTCATCATTTTGCTAAGGAAATTGTGCGTGTAAAGGTCAAACTTGGCCGTACAAAGCCATTCTCGGCTCATTGTTGGACCAAAACGTGTAACTAGGTCGGTTCATATGGCTCGTACCTAAAGGTGAGCTAAAAGAGCAGTGATCTGCCTGATTTCGCAGTTTTTGTGGACGATTTTTCCGCAGTAAAGCTGCTCATAACTTCGCCCACAAAGGCGCTCTGCAGATACGGAAGACACATTTGAAATCAGCATTCTATGCTGCATCGAATGGTATGCAGCTTGTATGGATTGGCCACTTCGACTTCTGACCATTCCCTTGTAAGGAGTGCGACAAGTGAATATTCATATGGAAGATCGTATTTGACTCGCTCTTCAAGATCTCGTTCACTTTCATGACGAAGCAGTTCTGGGTGGTATTTATCAATCTCCGACATTGTTCGAGCCATTGTTAACACGTTTCGGACCGGTGCTGCACATGGTGCAGCACGCGGCTTTGAAGGATCTTTTTAAACTCTATAGGAGGTTTTCTTTTTGTCCAAGATCATCAAGTCAAAGGCCTAGGCTCCTACTTTTCAAATAACTCCGTAGAGCTGTGCCGCCGATACTTGTTCAGAAGATATGAGGACAAATCGAACAACAGTTGCAACGAAGTGCGGCAACGCGAACGACGCGTGCGACGTCGCAACTCTCCTTTGCTTCGATATCAAAGAGAAAAACCGTAGTTTCAATACTGATGTGTACCGTGTACGGCACAGACACTTTTGTATATAGTTCGAAACTGAGTTCTTGTTTCTATCTTTCAAGAAAGCATGGAAGTCTCTCTCAAGCGACAAAATTTAAACACTTCGAATTCATTCAGAACTTTGGGTATCGACCTTATCTGACATACTGATTACAGATGTAGCACACAGTTTGGGAAATAAGATCCCTTTGTTGGCTAACGGCTAAAAGTACCCTCTTTTTCGCCGCGCGCGATTTCGCGGTCCGAAACGTGTTAAAGTACCCGGACAGGCGAGAGCCACATTTGATTTATGAAAGTTTGAGACGCTTGGCCCAAACGGCAGCAAGGCCCGACTTGGCGACATCGGGCACGGTCAGGCCAAACATGCCGGATTGAACCATACCTTCAAGCAGACAACATCGACTTCTTCAGGAGCCCTACACCAGCTCGGCTTCGTGTATCGCGGGCGCCCCAGTGCCCGCGTCTGTACGACCTATACAAGGACACAAGGACCCCTTCCCAAGTAGGAGACTGATAAATACCGTCCCTGATGAAAGTGGAACTATGGCAAAATATCTTCACCATTGCTGTGCGGTAGGTTGGCCCCGCATTTGAGGTTTGGAAGCCAGAAGTTTCTGCCTGTAAAGTACGTAGTCTGCCTTTCCGTGCATGCTTAGAGATTTTGGTGATTCCAGAAATTTGATCAATCCATATGAACGTTCAAAAAAATGCAGCTCTTTGACTCATTCGTTTTCCATTCACATTATTAGTCAAAAAGATAGCACAATATCCTTTGAAGTACCCGCAACGATTTTCAAAAACAAGTGACGACAAAGTTGTCTACAACCATTTGAGATTAGGAGTTATTTTATTCACATGGAGGACACCCGATCAGCATTACTCATTCCTGAAGAAATAACTTCAAAAGCAGATTTGACATTTTTATGGCCTTGGACACAAATTTTCAAAAAACTCAGATGGTTCCAAGATAAGTTCAAAGGCAATGGCAATGACATTGCTCTCTAGTCTCAATTCTTTTTGTTGATCTCAGAATTTTCTTTTGTCATTTAATTGAATTAGATGGAGCATAGCAGCATTTCAGGCGACTCGAGCAATGATAACGAAATGAGGGGTCGCAAAATATCACATCGTTAATCTTCAAAAGCGCTAAATATAAATAAAACAATAGATTCTGCCATTTCTAGAATGGAACTTACAACCTTAGTTTCTGAATGCTTTATGGCTCTGCTCAATCACGGCAAAGCCGTCCTAGCTTCTAGAAATTGTCACCAAATCGTGCCGAACCCGCATTCTACCTCCTAACATTTCACTCAAAAATATCTGGTGCCATGATTATACAACCCTTGCTTTATTTACATGTATTATCATCTCAACACCTCCAGGTCGAATCGTGGACCTGAACCATAGGTTTACTAAATGAAGCCGACGGTTGCTTAACCATTTGCAAACAGGAAATGGCTTTAGTATGGGGGCAACCAGTTTGGCAATGAGTTCAGCTGAGGAAACTTGTCTTATTGTTCGGTTGCAAACCAGATAGCGGAAAACAAGGCAGGTGTCTCACATGTCATAGAGCTTCTTTCATATGTGACCTTGGTCAGACACAATTTCCTTCTATTCAATCTTATATGACATTTTCGGAGTTAGAAAAGTTCAAATGTTTGAGTACCTAAATCTTGCTACATAAGGAGCTTACACATGCTATAATCTATTAATGTGCTGGTAACGGTAGTTGTAACAGATACTAGATATATAAAGTCCTGAAGATGCCAAGTTCGAGTCATGATCTGCCAAGCGAGACCACCATGCATCATCTTCGCGATCGCGCACCTCAAGTCGGCAATTTCCGGTTCCTAATCAGCTTAACGCCAGTTTCTTTGCCATTCGCAGATCACTTTTACACTCATAATGAATCTTCTTTTACAACTATAATCATGCTTTTTGGCTCGCCGCACTATCCTAATGTATCATATCAACCTTGCTCTAATTCATCTATTATGTAGCAAAAAATCGTTGCCTAAATAGTGAATTTTTTATTCAGTAAAAATATAGGACCTATATCAAAAAGATTATGCCAGAAATGATAGAATTATGACGCAAAAGTCAACGATAGCATCGCTATTATGCATAACCTCTAATACGCTATCACAGTTGCGTTTCAAACTAATGACGCTTCTTTAGCCTAATCTTGAAAGAGTCAAAATTGCCTCGCCTTAATGTTTTGTGATTATTAACAAGTATGCGAACGTTTGCAGTTGTGCAAATTTTGAAAGCGCACCAAGAATTTTTTATTAGTGTAGACATATTTACTTACAATCTCGTCTTCAACATCACGACTGAAGGCCTAATTGTAACTTCGATTCGGATCACAAATAATTCAAAAGGCATCAAACTTTAATGACTGAGAGCAGTTAATTCTTTCAAGCTAGCTCATTTAGGTAGATTACGATACATTGTAAGTAAAAATGAACAAATAATTAGACATCGTCGCTGATTCTGACTTTTATAATATAATTTGTTGCTAAGCGTTCAAGCTCAAGCATTGAAAAATCAAACATTACCTTTCTCAACGCATTTTATATTCATGTGATTAATATCGTCTGTCAACAAAGCAAGATCTGAGAACGAGGTAATGGCAGCGATAATGAAAACAGGAAGTTTATTGGATTACCGTATGAACCACATAGCAAGCCGGACAGCTCCGAGCAACCAACATAAATTATGCTTGATGTTCGCAACCGATTGATGATCATTTTACATCACTCTGTCAATATATAAGGGCCGGGCATACTTCACGCGATTTCAGTCGCGAAGCGATTTGGCAATTCGCCAAAAGCCTTCAGATCCAACATTAGCAAACTGCACATGTATAGTGTGTATAACTTACGTGGATTGATAAAATGCTCAATCTTTTGTACATTTGAAATCTGCTTACAGTGATTTATAGACAGTTAGAATATTGCCAAGTCGCGTCGCGGCTGAAATCGCGTGAAATATGCCTGACTCTTTATCAAAGTCTAGTAGACCGCATAGAGTTCACTTTCATATCAGTTCGTAAGCGATATGGACGCAAATACAGTACCAACCCATCGTTTTGTTTTTTACTCCAAATCTTCACAACTTTACGTCGTAAACATAATTGTGCTTAGAGTACCATCAGACGAACACAACCCTATCTCTGACGGATATCATGAGGTATAAAATTATTTTGCTGCCTTCATTTCTGCTAGAGCAGCATTACAGATTTGCTCTTTCGACCATGTGCTTTACCAGCACTACAATCACGAATGTGCACTCAGACAATCCAGTAATAACCATCAGTTCATCTCGACCCCCTACTCAGGTATGTTTCTTTGAGGAAAAAGAGGAAACTCTTTGAGGAAGCTTGTGATGAAAGGAAGCTTGTAAAAATAGCGAATAAATTAGTGACAAAATTTTTTCGACATTGTTGTTATTTTCATATTCGTTGGGTTCGTCAGCTGTCGATATATTGAATTGGAGTTTGATTTCCTGTTTTCGATCGAGACAGCTGCGTTTGATTTTTCTGTGATTGATGACGAACGAGGGGCATGTGCGGGGGTTGTTGTTGCGGCAATTTTTTCCTAAATTCCAATTCCCATGGCTACTTAATCTTGGAAACTTCCCTTTTGTTAATCTGAGAATTGCTGCTCTTCGTGAAGGAAGAATTTGGATTTGAAGAATATACGATGGGTTCGAAAAATAACTCTGCTGGAAAGTTACTGATGTGGAGGCAACTTCATTTCACAACAAAAACTCCTTCTTTATCTCTCCAGCCGAGCACACATTTGCTGGAAAGTAAATTCATTCAAACAATTATTTAAGTGTTTAAAAATGCTTTTATTGGCAATGCAAAACAGGGGTAATCGTGCCTTCATTAGCAACTTCTCAAAGTAAAGAAACCAGTTGCCTGCTTCCAGAACGGAAACTTTTTCATTCCTCTTCGTGCTCTTCCTTCCCCCTTTCCCTCTCCCAGCTCTTTCCTTGATTACCTAGGCTATCCCATCCAGGTTTAAACCGGTTCTCCCTCACAATCGAATTACAAATAAAAGAATTTTCTAAGAGCCAAAAAAGCAAACGAACTTTACTAGAAATGTTGGGTTAGAGTGAAGAGCATGGGTTGTAGACAATATATGTATTTCAGTGGCTGTTTGGTGATGGTACGATGAAGTCGATGCCGAAGAGGATGGTCCCCTTTTACATGAAGTCTTCCTCGCAAAGAAGACGAACGACAAGCAAATGATCATTTCCTCCTATCTGACACCTCTGTTTATCACATCTATTAGCTCTCGGATCGTTTTTTCTTTTCTAAATGAAAAATGAGTCCATCGCAACGGCCTGACATGGGGTTTTAATTTTACAGCTGTCTTGCTAAGCATTGGTACAAAAAAATGATTGAATACTTTGTTTGTTTTGTGAATTGATTCAGTCAAGAAGATAATGCTAGAAATACTGACCGGAAACAAAAAATTGAGGTAATCAGACGCATGCCAACTTTTAAATCGAACAACCACTATTGCATTTTGGTGAGATTTCATTTAATCAAACGTCACAATAGCAATGGCATACAAATGAGTGGTAAAAGTCATAAAAGGCCTAGAATAACCTTGAAACATACGAAAATTATTAGTTCGCATTACACCTATGAAAAGGATAGATACGAGTATTTGAAATTTTTCTTGACCTCTCTTATCAAGTACATAGCGAACTCCTCAAAATCAAAGTGCTAAGTCCTTTCCTAGACAAATGAATGAACACATGTTTATTTGTCCCATGTCTCAGCTGAAAGCGGAATGAATAAACGTAACCACAAAAATATTTTCTGCTTTTTTATTTTATATCATAGTTTTCTGAAGGAATACCAAAGACAAGTTTTGCTTTTGCTTATGGAATCAAGCTAGATAAGGGAAAGTACATAGCGTGATCGATCTTAACGAACAGCGTGTATATAGAGAGAGCTGCTTGACTTATACGGTCGTAGATTCCGAGCCACGTTGCCAAAATGGCCTTGGTTATTCTTCTTAGCGAAAAAATATACACGCTGTTCGTTAAGATCGATCACGCTATGTACTTTCCCTCTATCTAGCTTGATTCCATAAGCAAAAGCAAAACTTGTCTTTGGTATTCCTTCAGAAAACTCATGATATAAAATAAAAAAGCAGAAAATATTTTTGTGGTTACGTTTATTCATTCCGCCTTTCAGCTGAGACATGGGACAAATAAACATGTGTTCATTCATTTGCTCTAGGAAAGGACTTAGAGTTTGAAATTGCGTAATTGTAGAACTCACTTTTCGGTCTCTAAACTTTGGTATGCTTAAAAGGTCTTATATCGAAGTAATGTGAAAAGGATCAGTTTAGAAAGAGTACTCTGCACCGGTGGCAGATCCAAGCTAATTTAAAGAAGAGACGCGACGTTTTGTAAATGAAGGGGCAAAGTGTGGACACACCATCCCAATTTTTTTTGTAGAACTTGACTTTCTGTAAAAACCAAAAAATATTCTAAATATTTATAAGCAAGAATAGGTCTCTGCACAATTTCACTAGTGATGCCAATCACATTTTTTTGCGATACATTCGTTTGAACGGGAAGCCCTATCCTGATGGCATAGGCGACTTCCGGTACCTGGATGGGCGGAGCTTGACAGACGGGAGTGGCATATAACACTTTACTTTACTTTCATATAGCACTTTGCTCGTTGAGATGTCCTAATCCTAGGGTTTCTTGTAGACTAGGGAATAATCGAAAGAATACGGATCTTGTCGGACGCTGCCTTCCAGATGCCACTTTCTGGGCCCCGTATAACTCTTCTTTTGCTTTTCTCTTGCAGCAGTTTCAGCTAACATCTGAAACTCCACATCAAGCCCTTTGCGTGAAAGAAAGTCTCGATGGTTTTATGTATCATAGTAGCACGTACGGCTCTTCTCTTAGCCAGTCACGACATCTGGGTCTGTGTACAGACCCTTCTGCCCGAATGATAAATGTCGTTTTCCTCCCACGAATGTGCTGCATTTTGTTGCAGTGTGACAAACAGGTGTTGCTTTGTACTGCATAGGAACCCCATAGCCATGATTTGTTTTAGCGCATGTTTTGAAGCGCGTCGCTTCGATTTGTTTTCCATATTTCAATTTTCTAGCACGAGGTTTGTCGGTGATTGATTTGAGCCGTAAATGATGCGTATTCTGCTGTTTTCCGCTGTTTTAATGCTTCTGATGTAAAACAGTTGTTCATAAAACTCTTCTAAAGTGTATTCACTCACGACAAGTTTTTCGCCGTTTAAATTTCAAAAATCGGCAGTAATTTCTCGCTTCTTACTTGAATTACTGACAAGAAATGAAGTTTTTCTTGAAGATTTGAAGATTTGTCGGCTTTGTAGTACATACAAGTTGCTTTCTAGATTAAGCTGGGACATTTAATTAGTAAATTTAAGTAATTTAGTGCATGATTCCCAGAACATCTCAAACAGAGGACCTTTTACACAAACTAGTGATAGTTCACTGCGGTAATTCTGTGCCTTAAATATTTGATAGGCAAAAGATCAGAAACTTGAATCTACAGGGTGTCCCAAAAAGATGTGCACACTGTTTGATTGTTAATAACTCTCTTGCTTTCATGTCTTTTGCCGAGCTTGAGGTGCCATTCTGTAGAACGAGGATAAACTTAGATTTACAGTATGGAGTGACTTATCAGCCGCTTTTCATTACTGTAGGATTACGGTAGGAATTTCGAGGAGGATTTTAAGCAATGGAAACCTGTATTTTGCGTCAGAAAAAAGCCAAATAAGCCAGAAACTCTTGCACTGGGTTAGTCGTAATCGCTGATTCTAAATATGAAAATGCACGTCACTACACTGTTCCTTTCATGAGTTATTTCAGATTTAGGGTAAAAACTGATTTTCCAATGTTCAGCAGAAATGTGAATACGCCATCAAGAAAGCTCGAAAAACTGAAGGAAAGTTATGTAGTGAAATCAGCACGCTTGAGAACCACGTTACACAATTTTTTATTTTTTGAAATTATTTCATCAAAAGGCTTATTCCACAGTGATGATGTATGCTGAAGGCTACCGTAGTCCTACAGTAGCAAAAAGAGATTGGAGTTTTGCTTAATACTGTAAATCTAAGTTTATCCTAGCTCTACAGAATGGTACCTCAAGCTCGGCAAAAGACATGAAAGTAAGAGTTATTAACGATCAGACAGTGTACACATCTTTTTGGGACACTCTGTATAAAGCAAAACTGCATCCAAAACTTTTGTCACTCGTTGAAGGCATTGCCTTCAGCCCTGGGAAAACGATGGAAAAATAGTCAGGAAATTTTCGAAAACGATTGCATTCAAAAAATCGAAAATATATACCCAATTTCGAACTTTGTGGAGTATTTTCTGAGGAATTCCTGAATTTCGAGTTCAGCCTCATTGCACTGAAGTTCACAGCTACAGCGACAAACTGCTAGGCTATCTCGGGGTAATTTATGCCTTCTTAAAGTACAAGAGTGTTTGGTATTTGGGCTTGGATATTTTTCTCCCTGATGCCGCAGCCGTACGAAAGTGAGTTTGAATAAAGCTTCATTAAAAAACCTCGTGTTGGCGTATGTATATATCAAACACTTCATCCAATTTCTAGCTTTTATTTGGGCTTGTTTGTTATTAAAAAGTCCACCAGAGAAAGCGCGAAAGCGGAGAGAGCACAGGCTCTTTTCAAAGCCCTTATATCTAGACATTTGGATAAAAACAGTTCATGCAAAGGCTGAGAATCACACCCGGCAGGAACCACTGTAAAGGTTCCCCTACATTGACTGTGGCGGAATGTGCACTCTTTGAAGAGTTTGTATAAAAAATGAATTTCAGAAAGTACATCAGTCTGAATCGATCAATAAATAATGATGTGGTGATAACTTTTTCGACCAGCTTAACTTCCTTTTTGCTCACCTGTTTATGTTTAAGAAATATGCAGTTTTGCTTCTAGAGAGCTAGCGATTGTAAGCGCTTCGTCCGATGGCATATTTTAAAAATTTTATCCAAGATATGCAGATGATTCGTATTCGCTTTCTCTGCGAATGATTTTGAAAAAAAAATAGTGCACAGCGTTTAGTTTATCCAACTGTGAAGTACCTATGGCCTTTGTTGACATTTTGAGTGCACCAAACAATTTCCATCTTGTAACTTTACAAAATTTCCCGCTCCGAAAATTGGTAGTGAACGAGCCGTGCTATTTTATTGCAAAGAAAAAAGGCAAGAGAATTTTTTTGAACACTTCTGCATATTTCTCTAAGAAGCTAAATACTATGCGGCATTCAAAAGAGACGGTTTGTTTACAACTTGTACAGAGAGAATGATCACAGTCACATTGCTTACCTGCAGCTTTTCCGAATCTATCAGTCATGCTCCCAAAGCCTGGCAGCTGAAGGATAATTGATTGCCTGCACTCTTACTTTCCGAGTGACAAGCATCTCAAACGAAGTATCAAAGACTCGAGATCTGGTACAAATTTAACCCCTGTTACACTTCCACTTATTCTCGAAGTTATGTCGGTTCCAATGTCGCACTTGCTCGTCAAAAAATCAAAAGTTCGTGCGTATTGTCATCTCTTCGTCATATGCTTCATTTTGTTGTAAGTTCATTGATCTGTGATTTGCTGGCATATTCTCCCACCTCATTTCATCACTTGCACTGCTGACATCTCTTCCTTGATTCTCTGTCTCTTTCTTATCTTATTGTTTCTATCTTTCCTCCTACAACACATTACACTATACAGTTTTTTTATCAGTTTTTCATCATAGAGTACGAACTTTACTTTTACCAAGCTTTGCCTAAATGTTGGAAAATCACTTTGTACATTTTGCTTTACTCCGTCGAATGTAAGCTGAGCAGTAATCAAAAAATCAGAAATAGCAATTCGCTGAAAAAACTCAAAGGATGGCCTAATACTACACTGAAAAATTTGGTGCGCTTATGATGCGACATTAACAACAAACTTCGCGGGAGTTACAAAGTGGCACAATTATTTTGGTTCTTATTACCAGAATGGAAAATAAACATTTTATGGAAGCTACTTTTTCTCGAGGATTTAGGGTACTTTTCCGTTATCCGGACCCATTTTTTCAAAAGGCTCTTATGAAATACGTTCTGTAGTCCAAGTACAAATTTTCATAGATTTTACGAGGACCGCCTCCCCGCCACGTGTCAGGAAAAAATTGACACGTTCTAATCCACTTTGACATGTTTTTTCGAAATCATTTCCGCTAAGGTAAAAGAGCATCTATAACCACTCGTTCAGCTTTTTTATATAAGAGCAAAACAATCTAGAATCATTACTGGAATATCTTGATTGTTTCTAGCAATGGTTCAAGAATGTATTTCACTTCAAACCTTCCGCCATGCGAGTTTAGTCAGGAAAGTCTACAAATGATGGCTTGAAGTAGTACCTCGCTGCTGCTTTCGCCGCTTGGATGATGGAACCCTAGCGCCCCTCTCTATTCTGGGCATGTCTAGTACGTTCATTGATAAGAGGGCGACGTTATTACTATAACAATGTTATTTTTGAAAATGTTTAATCAAAAATAGGGTTATTGTTGACCAAAAAAGGTTGGATTTATGTCGCTAGGTAGAGCAACACAAATCCTTGGTAAAACTTGTTAAACATGTAAATGGCATGTCAAATTTTTTTGACACGTGGCAGAAGGTCGACGCTCTTTCCTATGAAGTTGAGACCAAATATTGCGCAAGGAAAGAAGCAGTATTCTTCTTTGAAAAAATGGGTCCGGATAACGGAAAAAAAAAACCGGATTTAGTAGGTCAAAATTGAGCTCTCGTTGCTTCAATCACACAGCAACCGAGACTGTACAGAAATTACAAATTACAGCTTCCTGAGACATTCATGAGTAATTTTGGCTTGATATGTTTGTTTTAGGCTGCAAAACAACTAAATTACACTATGACCCTCTAAATTCTCGAAAAAAAAACTGCTTCATGGAGATGCCCAGTTTTTTTGTGTTTTTTACCAAAAGTTGAACACATTCTACATATGCCAAGATATGAGCGAGCCACATTTAAAGGAGTAAAATTACTATTAGTTGCATAACTCAGCTTCAAACTAATTTATAGACAAATACAGTCTGCGCCTAATAGCTCTCTCCACTTGCCACATTGTCTACTTGAAGCCTCGTCTATTGCCAGAAACTCTGATCCTGAAGAGAAAGTTTATTAGTCTGGTACGTTTGCATCATCTCACATATATCACTTCAACAAGCAAGCTTAGACAGCAGAATGTGCGCAAAAGGTTACCTGCAACTTGTCACAACATCTATTGAAAGTGTGATATTTTTTTGGCTCTGACGAGCAATCGGCACATCACCTTCAAATAGCTAGGCTGTGATAGAGCATCTTGCCCGTTTGAGATTGATGTAGCCAGGAAGCGGCTGGTTTAGAGGGGAGGAACACGCCAAAAAATAGTTTACGGGAGCTATTTTTGCAGACAGAATTAAAATGCAATTAATTGCTTTAAATTCTATCTCTCTATAATATATTTCCGACAGCAATGCAGCATAAGAAGAATAGAAAGATGTAAAGGATTACCTTCTCATATTTTTTTCTTTGCTTAGGGCAATGTGAAGGTAGGCAACTGTTCTCATACGAATGCAAGCTCTCAAAAAAGTAGTGTTTCGTTGCCTTCTCTCATATCACTCCAGGTTTATGCTGTCTTCCACATCGGCGAAATCTATAACGATTAACTGTTCCCTTGTTGTTCGCGCTCTAGACTCTGCGGTCTTTTCATGGTGTCAATCTCATCATGCGATTATATCCAGCAACTGGCAAAGAGCTAATTTTGTAGTCAAAATACCAAAATGAGACTTTCAGTGAATAGTGGTTTTGCTTTACTGATACTTCACCTCTGTTTCGCAGAGATTCACACTGGCCATTTCAAGTTTAGATAAGCTTACGTAATGATCTTGGTCTTCATCATTCTTCATGAAGAGACCGCTAAGTATTCACAAAAATAAACATTACCTTTTAATAGTAACGAGTCACCCCAATTCGAAGTCATTGCCAAAAATCGCTTATCCTCAATCACTACCGTTCTAACATCGTTTAGCTCGTTTGTGATTGTATAATACATGATTGTTTTAAGTTCTCCGGTATTCTATTGCGGCGTCATTCGTTTCTGCCATCGCGCTATGAAAAGAGTCATTGTTGGAACTGGCTACCTCTTCTTAAGTAAGTAAGCTACTTCGATAATCCGAGCATCTTCTATAAAATTATAGAAAGAGACGAATCTTGCTTTCCTTCAGGTTTGCTGGGAACATGTCTAAATCTCTCTGCGCTTAGCGTTCTGCCCGAATGCGAGAAGTCTCTCACTCGTCCTTTGCTAATATTCTTTTCAACTCAGTTATTTGTGGGTATTGGGACATTGCTTTCCATAGCAGTCCCAGTCCCTTACATGGTAGGTAAGTCCAAGCCCTTTCTTATCATGAGCTGTGCAGATCTTATACAACAGTTTCAGCTACAAATTTGCCGTATTTTATCAATCCCCACCTCGAAGGTGCTCCTGGATTGCTAGTGGTCCTCACGGTTCTGACGTCTTATCTTATTCAGTTCTCCGTTTCCATCTACCGTAATATAAGGGTAGTCTTCAGAGTGGCGTAAGTCAATTCCTGATGTGCATGTGATGAAGCTTGTTAAGCCCAAACTTTTCCAGAGAAGTAATTTCCACGGACATCGTTGTGGAGGTACTCACAGCTCTTGCGTTTGTGCTTGCCGTATACATATCTGTGGATATAACTAAAGTCACCAAGTAAGCTCACAATTTCTGTTGAAAGAGTGCTTTTTCTTATTGAACTAATGGACCATTTACTAGTCAAATCAATGAATCACCGCATAGTGCCCAAAAATTTATAGATCGCGATGAAAACACCTTATAATCTGTCAAACCTATACTTAAACCTGTAATCATGCACACAATTCAGCTGAGTGACCAAGAACACGAGGATTAGACGAATCCCAACGGCTAGACAATCGTATAATTAATCCAAATGCCCCAATATTCTCCCGGTTTCAAGTACACTTTTATTAGGGTGAATGGTAAAAAATGGGACACCTTGATTTTTATTAACTTTTGAAATTTTTTGTTTCGATCAACAACAAGCAGGCTGCAATTTAAACGTCGCTTACAGCGACTTTTGCCTGTTATTCTGGTAACGCGTCGCTCTTCTCCCACAATCCTACGCTTTGCACCTTGAAGAACCCGAACACGGTTTTTTGAACATTTTTGAATCTTGTGCTGATATACCGTGATGTCATAACGCAAAGACCCATCATTCAAAAGAGCTCTTTATGCTCTTTCGAAAGCTATTTTGCATATATAGGAGTGCTTTTTATCTTCAGATAAAAAAGCGAAAAACTTGAGAAATTGCGACTTTTGGAGTTATAAAAACCAAAAAATCATGTTTTAATCTGCACTTTCCGAAGAAAAAGAAAATTGAGTTAAACTGCGTATGGATGAAGAGAGCGTAAGAATCTTTATCGATGCTAGCCAGAAATGGGATCATTTGCAAAGAAGTAAGCAATATATCTCCGTTCTTGAAACTGCTTATGACCATACCTCCTAACTTTGAGCGCTGAGCCCAGCAACCCAACATGAGTTTGGTAACAGTCCCATCACCTACTGCAGCAGTGGTGCCTTTTATAGTTTTCACATGTTTCACTGCGCAGCAATCGCTTTTCTTTCTTGAAAAATCTACTTTTCTAGGTGTCCCATTTTTACCGTTCACCCTAATACAATACGGAAGTCAAGACATGATCTTAGTCTGAGCTCATTTAAAGGGAGAAAATGAGAGCCCTGATTTTGAATTCATCTTTGTTGTTATGCCATCACCTCTGCAAATCCTAAGAAACTTGATTCTGCGCGTTTATCGTGGAAAAACGAAACTGTCGAGATAAGGCGTTATGTTCGATCCAAATAACTTGGTTTTTGAGTATTCACTCTTCAGCAATTTGCGGTGGCTACCGGAGTTCTGTAGTGATAAAGAGTAAAAGGAGGCAGGATCCATTCCTACTCAAAAAATGAAGTTCCACTTAAGCTGTGAGAGCTTTACGGAGTCATTTTCTCAAAATACACTTGTTATTGTTCCTTCTCAATGGCAATATTCATGCTTGACCAAGAGCTAGCCAAAGAACATCAAATAAGGCAGTGTTTATTTTCGCAATGGTGTCACGAAGTTATAGAAGAGCAGAGTGAAGTAACTATGAACAACTACTCGGTCGTGGAAAGCTTGAATGGCTGGAAATTATACGCGAATTTCAGTACAATCAAAGAGCGTCCTATCCTCCCTATTGTATTTGAGCGCGAAATGTTTGAACAAAGAGTAGAGGGAATGCTTTAAATGGTCTTTTCGCAGCAAGATGGATCATAGGAGGTGCAAAATGCAGGATGAAAAATTCAGGGGTCATGAGCAGGGCCCGGCACGAGGTGGGCAAATGACAAGCTGGAAATCGTTTTTGATGGAAAAAGCAAGGGGGATATCGTTTTTTGCGGGGTCCGGGGCGGAGCCCCGGAAGAAGATTTCAAGTGCAAGCAAAAGAAGGTCGAATCATGCTGATTACCTTAAACATCTAATTCATTGGGAAGTAGTTTCTAAAAGCCTCAACGCACAGCAGAGTTCGCGCGCTACGCCGCGCCGCCGCTAATTGCCGCATGCGCGACGTCGCATAAGCAATGCCGTCGAACAGCATGATTACATAATCATTTCTCAATGCAGGCGTAACGATATAGCACCAAATTACGTAAGCTAATGAAGAGAGGTTAGGAGAAGCAAAGTATGAAATATTATGAAAAACTTATGTGAATGGGAGGAGTAATAAGCATTTTTTCCAAAAATTTGGCAAAACTGGTAAATAAAGATTTGAATTCAAATGGCTCGTTTGCAGCGTACAGATGACTATACGGTATGAAACTTGGGTAGGTACATGAATACAAGCTTGCAGGGCTTAATTCGGAAGTTTTATTGAAAAATTATGTGACTGAAGGTTGTGGCAAGCTTTTTTCTGAAAATTTCCCGCTATCAAGGAAATGGAAAGTGGCTCGTTTGCAGCGCAGAGGAAACGAAATCGCGCGAGACTTGGTGTGTACACGCGCAGTAGGACTAAGGAACATTGTATGAAAAATGAAAAACTTATGTAAATGAAGAGCGTGCTCAACTTCTTTTCAAATTGGCTAGGCAATTGCCCATCTAATGCCACCTGAGGTGGGCAAAACTTCCGTCTCACATAATTTTTCAAAGATTTTTACATAAATCTCTTCTACACCTAAACTTTACTCTATGGTAGAATTTTGGTTTCAAAACTCCCCCTCTCCTCTTTACTATAGTCAAAATAAGATCAGCGGCACCCTTTCTTACTGAGGAAAGCGCGCCCGAATCAATCGATATGCGCGGGAATGGCGTCACTCAGTCCTATGACCAGTTTCTCATGCTTTTCCTTGTATTATCTTGTAAGACAGCTATTTTAACGTCGTTTTGATGTTTTGTTTTCTTTCTAAATGTCAATGGATAGTTTATTTTTGGTAAAGTATTCAGCACCGCAGGCTTGCCCAAAAGCGCTCGAAGGCGCCCATACTTTTTTGTTTTCTCTTCATATTTCTCATCTGTCTTAACATACTTTCCGCTTGCATCTTAACGTGCTGGTCTTTAGGCTAGCGTGGACGCGTGAAGTGAGAAAGGTGAAGAGAGAATAGAATAGTTCAAGCGCTTTTGGGTGCTTTGAGCAACGTTTGGCCGGTGCCTGCGTTGCACAAGCACAAAGCATCGTTTTTGGGCTCGAGGGGGTATTCGTAAAAGATTTTGGGATCAAAGGAGAATTCATTTTGAAAAACCCCATTTGCCCACCTCGTGCCGGGCCCTGGTCATGAGAGATAGCAGCAACATATGCTCCGATGACCCAGTCGCCATGGTTTAGTTATGAGGACGACTAATCTGAAAAACTCGCTTCTTATGACGCTTCTTCTTTCGCTTGTTTTACTTTATTAACAATGTTTTCTTAAAGTTTTTTCATGTGCTTGCCTTTTACTGTTGAGAAGAAGAATTTTTCTAGCATTACGTTTTGACGCCTCATTTGGAGAGGAAGCATGACAAATGCGTAATTATTAGTTTTTTAAGGCAGCGGCTAGGCAAATTCTCTAAACCTTTGTTTCTCACTTACCTGGGTATTTCGCTGCGCTGATTTCCACTCACTTTCGGAAGCCTGAAATTGGCTAACACGAGCATTTATCGAAGCCATCAATTTTAAACATGGACGAGTGGACGCAAAGCCCGCCATGGCGAAGACACAGAGTCGTTGCCGGACCCTTATGCTTATGGCATTGTGGTATGTGTCCTTGACGGTGGAAGGGAAATCGCATGGTGGGCGGGGTCAGAGGTGGGAACTGCAGAGGAAGATGGCACAGCGCTGCCATTCGCGTTAGGTTTTCGGGAGCTAGACAGTGAGAGATCGAGCTTGGCTTACACGGCATTACCTCCATGATTGGGGCCTCTATGACGATGTTTCTCCGTAGTCCTCATTCCGCTGAGCCGCTGCCTTTAAAGCGTCCTCTCACCTGTAATGTCGGTTATATGCCTGCAAAGCATGCTTGACGGTACCTTTTTTACTTCTGTACAAAAAACGCAATCCAGCGTGTTTTTAAATTTTGAACCTGGGGAAAGAGGCGGAAGAATTTTTGGATGGTCGTGATCGGGATAGAGTAGGTGACAAACGTGTTTTGTTTGAGCGTTTGTATGACGTGATGATATGTCACAGCAAGGATTTTTTTTGTTAAAGACAAGGTCCTATCCTATTTCATTCGCGTCACATGCTTACTTCATGCATGAAAAGAAAATTACATGAGTGGACTCACATTTCACAGCCCACATAATGAAGTCGAGACATATACGCGGGGCTTTGCCAGCAACAAGTCTAAAAGATTGGTCGATACATTCTCAGCTACTATCAATAACTAGAAGTCATTTTAGCCTTTGTAGGAAAACCAACAATTCATCTTTGTGACTTCCGCTACATTTTCGCTGTTTCGTGAGAGCCTTTGGTACAAAACAAAATTATTTGATCACAACTTATCATGTTAACGGCCATGCGTTCTGTTAGATATCTGCTTACTGGGACCAAGCCTTTGGTCACCTCGAAAAACTTCATTTACATTATACCAACAAAAGCATCAAGTTACCGAAAGACATGCGAGTTTTTTCTAGCCCCGGCGCTTGAGAACCGTGCCCAGTGGAACTCAGTGGCTAGCCTACTCAAAGGAAAGACTCACAATACAATACCGGTTTTCAAGAAGGTAGTGAAATAGCAAACAAACTGGATTAAGCTTATCGTTGCCTAGGGTAGCCCGAATCGCGCGGTACCATATCTCCAAGTGAGCTCTTATGGGTTAGCGACAGATCGATATCCACGAGATAGGTAACCCAGAAATTGTAGGGTTGTAGAACCAGCTTGGGGAAAAGCGTGTTTGTCTTGAGTAGTCATTTTGACGGGAGCCCTAATCCATCATTGGTCACATTGTTCCACGTGGGAGCCATTCTGTGCACAAGTGGACCATGTTGTCGTCAACGATTTTGTGATTGAACAGTATTTCCACATGTCATTCGATGACTCAATTAGTTATTCAGTTGTTAGTCACGTATAAAAGTGAGAAATTCTACATTTACTTTTCGCACGTTGCTACCATCCGGAAAAACCTCTAGCTGTAAAACTCCTAGCGGGCCATAGTGGTTGACTTAGAATGCGTAGCGTACAGACGTATGCGACGTACGCAGCGTGCACACATGTGCATACAAAGATATGCACTGCATGCACTCCGTACGTCGCGTGATTAGTCCAGCTCCATCTTAGCATGCGAAACTAGCATCCAACTATTAGGTTGTAAAGAATGTTATACCAGAGTGAGCTAATTCTTTTATTTATATCTTCATCATGACTGGTTGTCAATTAACAATTTAGTCAGTAGTACTGATAACATTAGACCATTGTTATATATATATATATATATATATATATATATATATATATATATATATATATATATATATATATATATATATATATATATATATATATATATATATATATATATATATATATATATATATATATATATATATATATATATATATATCAGTGGCGGACCGAGGGGGGGGGGCGGGGGGGGGGGCGCGCGCCCCCCCCGAGAATGGGTCGCGAAATTTTTGAAACTTACCTATATGGGTTGTAAAAATGTGCAAACGACTTGTTTGCTCTTGAAAATAATTAAAATAATTTTTAAAATTTTTTAAAAATTCATTTTAGCCTTATAAAAAATTTTTTTCGGGGGCGTGGCTGACGCCACGCCCCCTTTTTTCAGACTTTAGGGGTCGGGGACCCGCAAAAATTTCGAGAAGCACCTTAAAAATTTTTTCGGAGTGCGTGGCTAACGCCACGCACCTTCTTTAGAAAAAAATTTTTTTCGCGCCCCCCCCCGAAAAAAATTTCTCGGACCGCCACTGATATATATATATATATATATATATATATATATATGCTCTTTCCAAAGAAGGGAGCTGGCTGCGTTTCGAAACAGGTGGAGAGTACGATTTTTTGAACCCTGGAATCAATGAGCTAAATTTTGCTTGAAAAAGGCCCACATACCGGGGCAAGTATTAGTCAGTTGTCGCTTCATCTAACCAATACAAGGAGATAACATGGATCTATAAATTGAGCTTCTGGTTTTCTGCGTATATAAGCTGAAAATGTGCCTTTTCGCAAACCTAAGCGCAGCAGATTTTCCTCCTTTTATGGGTATTTCTTCTTGGTTCAACGTTAATTCACACTTGCTCGCTGGCCATCGCGCTGAGAACACATCCCAAATGAGCATCTTGCCTGCGCATTCATGGTAATTAGTTTCTTTTACAACCTAATACTTCTATCATACAAGACTGATATGCCCTGAGGCTCTCTATATCTCGCGCGATTGCAAGAAACCGCTATCATTTGTGACTTGATAGATGTTATTAATCCACCTTTCAAATCTCGGATGCCCTTCACTCTTACTAAGCGGAAGTGCTTACGAAGAATTGCCATCGTAGCAATGCCAAATAGAGGGCTGCCGAGATCGCGCGAGATATTACCGATGCCCGACGCGACTGCATAAGCGACCAGAGGATATTCGTCGACGACTGCCCCAACTAGTGCAATTACACTACCGTAGGCGTGCTTTTTTGGAGCCTTTCCAGCATGACAGTAGGACAGGACGGGACAAGGAAAGAACAGGGATGCTGCGAGCTACCAAGTCTCCGCGCGCAGCAGCGTACTGTCAAGCTGGAAATGCCCCAATAAGACATGCCCAAGGTGGTGTAATTGCACGAGTCGGGGCAGTCGTCGACGAATGTCCTTTAGATTGTGTTAATAAATTACATCAAGTACACATCCGTAATACAAGTAAGGCAATATGAAGGACAGAAAACAGATGATGAATTGTTATTCTTGAATGATACAAGTTGGTGTGTTAGAAGTGCATATTTTTTTTATGTTTAGTATGAGGAGGTTTTCTGTGGATCACTTGTCTTGGGAGCAGACAAAAGAAGAGCACTTTCGGTTGCGTAACGTGATCGCATATTCTGCTATTGTTGGAATGATGTTTTATGCCCTTTCCATATTTGATCTACTATATCGGTAAGATCTCCTCCTATTGTCAAGTACGAGCAGGTTTATCGAAAGCTTAAGGCACATCTACGATGAAGAGAAGGAAGAGAGTACATCTACATCGCCAAAAACGCTGCTACTTTACCAAGTTCTCCATCTAATTTGCGACATTGTCTTCTGCGTTCTGATTCTACTTCCGGGAGTTGAACGACCGTCAGATTCACCCACCCTGGCCATTGTTCACTCTCTTTTCAATATATTTGGCCCAGCTGTCTGGCCAACATTTTCGTTGATTATTTATTCGGAAAGGATTCGTAACGTAAGTTCAGTCGTTCTTGGAGCTAAGCCAGGGAGACAAATGTGGTTTTGCAGGAACTGTGTTTTCGAGCCTATCTAATGGCTAAGGCATGTGCATCTCAAGATAACATCCAAACTGCACGCAATGGCCGCTCCAGACCAACCTAATCGCGAAGCTTAACTGACGAATGTTGAACTGTCATACTGAGCCGCTTATAAATATTCTTTAATTCGGGTCAATAAATGATCTCTCCGTTTCGCTACTTTTCAACACAATTTCCGCTTTTTCATTCTGAGCTGAAGTCAACAGTGCGTCAATGATTTTTTTGGTGTGGTACTTGATGTCTTTCAGTCGAGCCCTGTGTAAATACAAAAGTGCTTTTCCTAAACACTGTTGCCAAGAAAGCTGAGCATTGAGAAACAGGCCTGTCTTACCTGTTATGAATGGTTGTTCTAAGTTCTGACAAAGCTTGGATTTAACGTGTATTTGTCTATGGAAAAATATGTATGGCCTGATAGTATTCATTCCGTGATCCGAATGCGTCTGCATGTCTACTGCTTTCCTGCATTGTGTATTTTCCTCGTGTATTTTCATCCTTTCTTTCATGTTGACATGTCGTATTCAACTAACTAAGCACCCCTGCTCACTTCCATTTCTTACGGAACACTTCAGGCTCTTGTACTCCAAGTCACGCAGGCGATCACTTCTCTCCCCTATTTCTAATCTTATAGTTCAAGCATGATTTTGTATAAGGGTTCTAAAATTTTCCTTGCAGGATCACGCTGTGTGATTATGATTCTTGGCTATTCACCGTGTTTATGACATGTGCTGTATCTCCGCTAACAACTTTTGAATTACTTGTTGCTAATGATGCCATTGTTTCACATCGATTCCGACTAATTCCAATCATTACAGTTTTTGAAACTAGCCTGCTCGATTTTGACTTTTTTCTTCCGTTGTTGTAGATTGTATTGCACTAAGTATCCGCATCCACACCCCGCTAAAGGCTAACTGAAGTAAATTTCGCCTTAACGGTGCTTGAGTCAATCTCCTTGAGTGATAGCAATTTGGTCGAAACCAATGAATGATGTGATGGTTCAATCATGATTACATCGTGGTAAGCATGATCATCTTCTCACGTCCATTCAGTTCAATCGAAAATTTGAATCAAATGTGTTTTTTTTATTTTTTTTCTGATAAATGTCATGATAACATTACTATGTTAAAAATTACCGCGTATCTTCCCTTCACAGTCACTCACTTCTGCCAACTTTGAGATACTCTTGAATTTCTGGCAGCGTGCACTCACAATATTTGGGACATACGAAAATATGAATATCTCACAGTATCGTGACAATGCTTTGTTTGTTTTGTTTTGATTGGTTTCCTGAATGTAGGGTCATAAGCTGCATGTAATTCTGAAAATAGTCTGGTTCGCAACTTATTCAACGATGTAAATAGCAAGAATTGAGTTCTATGAAAACAAGCGGAGGCACAAGACTAAGCTAAGTACATCCCACAAACAGAATTTCATTTTCAAACCCATCCGAATCAAAGTCTGCACACATACACTTCGGTGAGAGTGACATAGGCTATTTGTCGCTTCCATCGAGGTCAATCTCATGAGTTTTAACAAGCTTTGAGCTGTGGGATTGGAAGTTGGCAAGGGAGCGAGGGCGAGGACGGGGAGGGTGGGGGGGGGGGGGGAAGAGGGACATGCTGATAGGTCGCTAGGCAAGTAACTAGTGGAAAGGGGACGACGAGAGGGAAATTCTGTGCAGAAGTGAGATGGACCGGTTACTTTTTCCATATTACGTTGACAGGCGCCGAACGAAAGCTGATATCTCAGCTATCAAAGAGTTGAAATGGATAGCAAAAGTAAAATTCTGAAAACCGGGTAAAAAAAGTACAATAATTTTCATACCTTTCTCTTAGCGATATCTTTAGTCGCAGATTTTCGCTTTAGTTTCCACCGGTTCACAAGTCCGAGAAAACGAAAGAACCAAGTCAATCTTTCGCAATAGTTTTAAAATAACGTGTTGAAAGTTTTGACCGCCAAGAAGACGATGAACAGAGCAGAATTTGATATTAAAAAAGAAAAACTTTGTTCTTATAAAGTCAGAATTTACAATGAAGTCTATGTAATTTCTAATGCGTCCTTTGATTTTTAACTCCCGTCTGTCCTTTCTATTCCCGGGACGTTGTCAGCATTGCTCTGCTTATCATGCTGGGCAGAAAACCCCTCAAATGTAAAGAACGGTAAAACGTACTCCAAGCAATAGCTGTGGACAAAAATGCCCTTTTCGCTGCTATTTACCAAAAATTTTGCCACAGAATGAAGAGAAAGCTCGGCGACGTTATCTGCATTGTACAGAAAAGCAAGATCTATCGAATGCACAAAAAAACCGTGGGAGAAAAAACCATTTTCTGAAAACACAGTTTTAGCCAAGCTTTTCAGGTTAGAGAATAAAGCTTGTCGATTGTATCAGGGCAAATAAAGATGAAGATACGGTATGATATAAGTCAGAACTGGATCCAGAACTACGAAGAAAAGGGTACCAGGGCCAAATGTCCTTTACACCGCGTTTGGGGTAGCGAGGTAGCGTGCAGCACATGGAGGCGCAGACCAGCAGAAGAGACGAGCAGGAGCACGGAGCATTTGGCACTGATTGGAGATCTCTATGAATTCTTAACAAAAACCTGCAACATTAGGTATCATTCATTCGTCATACGTCTAGGAACATTGGCAGCGTCGTGAAAATCGCTTCTTAAGGGATCTGTCATACCTCATCGCCACTCAAGTTCTGCTGGGCTATTCATAAACTTCCTTGGAAGCATATTTTTTAGGAAGATTTGGCATGTACACGCAAGATTACAAAAACGCTATGCGCCTACGCACTTTGGTTCCACACGCGATAGGTTTGCGAACATCTGGTTAATTGCCAGATCGCGTATCGTCGCGATTTTGAAGAAATCGTATATTCGAGGCCCAAACTACATAAACCAGCGTTACTCTCTGCGCAAAGTCTGGTCGCTGTTCCTTTTTTTCGTCAGAAGTGTTAACTGAAACTAAACATAGTTTCAAAAGGGGAGCTTGAGAGATGTCTCACTTATTGAGAAGATTTACACTGAAAGCTTGTTTTTAGCAGGCTAAAAATGCAATTTTCGTTTCGCTAATATGTTTTGAATTATTCACTATACTTAAATCATTCACAGTGATTCCCATTTAGTTATGAGCTTAATATGAGGGCGAAACCTGGAATGACATCTTTTTTTAAAATCTTTTCAGGTGAAGGTTGTGTTCGCTTAGCTAAAGAGTGTCGCTCAGGTTACCAGGGTACATGACTTCATCAAGGGGGTATGACTGATGAGATGTTAAGGGTTATCGCTCAAAGACAGTGTCCCGACAATCGCTATTCAGTTTTGATCTTTTCGGAGCCTTCTTATCATGCTAAACGCGTATCTGGGCTTTTCATGCATTCAAAACTCTTCATATCCGCATTCGCTGGAGAAGCATGTAAGTAAGCGGGGCCCGGAAGACTTCTGAAGTGGATTCCAGGTTTTCTAGACGAGCTTTTACGCTCAGACCTCAGTGATAGATTGACTGACTTCTACAATTGCAATGCTGTGAATCCCAATAGACTTACTTGACAGGACGCTACCTCTGACATGCTGAAAGAGGGTAGGGTCGTATGGATGAGTACCTTCATGCTAAGGGAGAAAAGTCGAGAGAGGGGATTAGTGTGCGTTAATAATGATTCGGAAGTTCGGGAACAATTCCAGCACAGCGTTCGAACTGAGCGTTGTGCTGGAACTGTTTCTGGACTTTGGAACTAGTATGAACGCAGCTTTATGGATCGCAACACCACGCCTGCCCAGCTGCTGATGTCGCTTACAACCTAAACAAGGATTGAACAAGTCATTGACAGCTTCACTTAAAGGGTTTGATAAATGGCGTACGTGTTTAGGTTTTTCTGATATCCAAAATGCTAAAATAAGAGTGGAAGAGAGCGATGAGAATATAGGTTCAGCTGCCCCGTCAACGCAAATCAGCCCGCGCGCAGATACGCCCTACATTTTGACGAACAAAGTGACAATAATTCCAAAATGACAGCATTTACATTCAGAGTAAATTTTTGAGCTCCTCTCCATTTTCTCTATTGCATTTTGTGCAGTTTGCTTATATCTTTTGAAAATTTCTCCCTATCGTATATCTCCTATACCCAGGATAGAGAAAAGATGTGACACACGCCGCTGAATGGGTTCCCTTTGCGTTCGGGAAGTGTCCGATAACCCTCTCCTTCTCCCGTATCGTCACCTTTCATTAGGCATAACTTGAAGTTGTACCAAGCAAATAAATAACAAATTCGTAAACCAAGTGTTAGCGAATCCTAAAGTTCCCAGATATGTGACCACCCAAATAAAATGATTATGTTTGTGGCTTGTTGACTGTAGACCGGGAATGATATCCATGAGAGTACATAATGGAGGAAAATGGACTTTCAAGCCCCATTTTATTCGTTCGCGGTGAAGAGTGGTCGGAATCTGCTTTCGCTCGCGTTATCCAAAATTTTTTTCATCTCATCGCAACCGCGAGGCAAAGCGGTGTAATGAAAATGATTCAACCCTACCTGAGCTCTCGCTTGCGAAAGATGACGTCAAAAGTCCATTTAGAATGGGGCAAAATGGGATTTACCTCCATTTAATGGACTTGAAAGCCCATTTTACTCCCAGCAGCAAGGTAAGCTGGGACTACGTCCATTTTTGACCTTTTTGCATATTTTTGGTTGCGATTTTTTGAGAATGTGTTCCTTAGCCTATTTTGAGGTATCAAGAGAGTGGAAAAAGTTTTTATGTTTTTTATGAAGTCTGAAATAAGTGTTTCTTTCTAAACTCATACAAACGCTATAAAAATCGTGGAAGAAGGTTAAATTCACCAAAATATTCGCAACAAACTCAAATGCTTCCAAATATCAGGTCGGTGCGAATATTCCTATGTAAATCGAATAAAGTTTGTTAACTCTCCAAATCATCAACCAAAACTAAATTTATGATCTGTGTTTGAAAGTAAAAAAAGATTTGGGATTTATTTAATACAATTACTCAGAAGCTATCCTTTGACTACTCTTGCAAAACCGAACCTCAAAAACGGCATTTCAAACGCGATTTTGAGTCTGATCGCAAGAATTAATGAAGTGCCGCTAGCCAGCAAGAAAAATTGTGAAAAATTTCGTTAGCAATAGTCCGTACATTTAACTACTTAGAGATATAAACATTAGTGCTGAAAGACAAAGAA